TTTATTATTATATATATATATATATATATATATATATATATATATATATATATATATATATATATATATATATAGATCATGGATAAGGTAAAGAAATAAAATTTTTTTATTCCAATTCACAACCCACAATTTGTTGGAACAAATAGCTGAACCGATATAATAATTATAAATTTGGTTGTATATCCTTTAAATGATAAAAAGGAGAAAATGATAAGGGAAATGTTTCAAAGAAGTATTATGATTATCATTGAGTATGATAAGTTTAAGTAAGTACACTTGAAATATCTGTTTATAAAATGCATTATCATTACCTTTTCTCTTATTTTCTTTTCCAATTTTTCCAAAAATATTTATTGATATGATAAGTCATTAACATTTTAATTATTAACAGTTATGATGTTGTTAATTCATTATTGTTTTATTTTAGGTATTAAGTTAAAAATTATAATTAAGAACGATATTTTATATATAATATGATTAATGGCTAGTTTCAATTATCATAATTTGACAATAATTAGAAGTAATAATAATAGTGAAATATTTATGATTAGAAGACAATTAATCAGTCCCTGAATTGTTTTTTCTCTTTTTTTTCCCTTTCTCTTGTAAATAACAATTAAATTATATTACGTTTAACTTTAACTTTTGATATTTTTATGAAAAATATTTTTTTTTCTTTTGAATTAAACGAAAATAGGTGAGCAATGGAGAAAGAAACAAGTTTCGAAAATATTTGTTAATGTATTAACAAACCTTTTTCTCTATATGAATCACCTGATGTACCTTTTACCTTTCATTCTTGCATCATTTATTTCTTCTCTTCCCCTTCCTATTCTATGTCCTTTTTTGTCCTTGTCATCTTGTCCTTTTCTTTCATTTTTCACAAAAACTAGAAATATTTGACAAATTAGTTGAACTAAACAACAAAACATTCATCTATCCTTCTTTTCTTCTCATCTCTTATCATTGCTAAATTTTATTTTATTTTTATTTTTTTTTTTTTTTTATTATCTCTTCTACAACTTCAACTCTTTCCCATTCTTTCACATAACAACAAAATTGTTTACAATAATTGAACAAATATCACTCATATTGTTTTTTGCAATAAATAACTTATTGTCAAAAATTATCAGATGATTTGATTACTAAATATCGACCTATCATGATAATTTTCAATACAAGTTATTGAAATAAGAAATTGTGAAATATAATTTATGATCAAATGATATGCATGTTTGAATCATTTTAAAAGGATAAAAATTTACAAATTAAATTAATTGAAGCAAACATTCTCACCTCTTTCTTTGTTCTTCTTTTTTTTTTTCCTTATCAGAATTATTAAAATTTGAAGAATTAGCTTGAATTTTTATCGTCCATATTATTTTTTCCTACCTTTTACTACCTGATCATGAGTAAATAATTGTTTCAAATTTTCCACATTTAATTATAATTAATAGTTTGCTATAGCTGTATGATATTGATGGATAGGTAGTAATACGATATTTATCATCATAAACAGGAAATGAAGCAAAAATGTCAAATGAAAAGAGTGCTTAAAACTTGTTGAAAAATTAATAATAACTCAGCAATTATTTTATTATAAATATAATACCTGATTTTCTTTTATTCACTTCGAAAATTACTAAAATTTAGCATTTTCAGAGAAAACAAAAACATTTTTTTGTTAAAAAATTTCCGGATCATATGGATTATATATCATTAATATTATTAATGATTATTTTGCAGAGAGGATATATATATATATATATATATATTTTTTTTTGCAATAAATTCCATAACGAAAGATTTATTTTGAAAATTCGCAAATAAATTTGTTTGCAATTATTTTTTTTTTTTTAATAATAAAACGGAAAACTGATCGATTTAGTTGCACTTGTTATGAACCATTTCATTAACTTTCATTTCACCAATAATTGTGTTAATTTATCCGATATTGATTTTTGTTCCAATTAATGTATAAAATAAAATATATAATTCATTGCATTATTTATGAAACCAATAATAACAGCCATAATCAAATCATACTACAATAATAATGGTATATTATAATATTATAACTTCATATTCCTAATAGTAATTGTTAAAATTTTTAATTGTTTTCACATTTGCTGTTATCATCTAGGAAATGATTGATTATCATTCAAAACTATATCAGACATTTTTTATCTTATAACAACGGTAGTTGTTGCTAATTCAAAAGCATTGCTTAAATCATTCAACGGTACTGATTGTTTAATTTGTTTACTAACTAATTAATAAATTATCGTTGATTCTGGCAAATCAAGATTGTAGCAAGATCGTATTCAAATTGTTTTGGAATATTCGTGAATAAATTTTGTTGTATATTTTCCATACTGCTTTATCAATATTATTTATCATTTTATAGTAAATTTGATAAAATCACTAAACAGTGCTTCTGTTTGTATTGATATTAAGAAATGTTTTGTTAGCAAAAAAAAAAAAAAAAAAAAAAAACAACGTTTATCAACTTATTTTTGATATAATCAAAAATTGATATGACACAAGAATCTATTTTCCTCATTTATTAACACTAAATTTCGGTCATTATTGAATGATAAAACATCGACAATGATAAATGATTATAAAATTGTGACACTTAAACAAGTCGTGTCATGAAGACGAGAAAATACATACGCACAGTCTCGCGATAGTTTTTTTTTTTATTTTCTCTCACCCATTTTTTGACAATAACAACAATAATAATAATGATAGTATTAGATAGTATCAATTTTTATTGGAAGAATGAAATCTGACCAATATAAAATGCAGAATTATTGCGAAATGTTCCAATTTGTGGATTTTTTTTTTTGAAGTCTAAAATTGTATCATTTCAAATATTACTTTACATTCTTTTCTTCCTTATGAAATTTTAACATTTTATTTCTCCTAA